AGAAGAGAAGAGGAGGAAGAGAGAGAGAGAGAGAGAGAGAGAGAGAGAGAGAGAGAGAGAGTGGAGAGAGAGAGAGAGAGAGAATAAAAAGCAAGGGAAGAAGCACATTATGCCGAAGGGAAAGCAAAATCAAGTTCTTTGTGTCCTTTTTCCCCCTGTTTCTGCTTCTGTGTTATGCCTTCATTTTTTTCAATTTTGTTTTCTTACTTCTTTCTTATTTGTTTATTTTTTCGTGTTTTTTGTTTGTTTGTTTGTTTTTTGGTTATTTTGTTTTTTTATGTATTTATCTCTGTTTTATTTTATTTTTTATTATTATTTTTTTATCTACTTATGCGTTCTTTGTACCTTTATTTATTCATTTATCATTACTTTTATTTGCTTATTTGTTTATTTGTTCTATTTCTGTTTTATTTGTTCATTTCTTTGTTTGTTTATTATTAATTTTACCACATTTTATTTTTTATTTTTTGTTATTTGTTTGTTTATTATTTTGTTTGTCTTTTTTATTTGTTTATTCTATTTCTCGATTTTTCATTATTCGGGTTTCCTTGTATATTTATTTGTTTATTTATTTTTATTTTCATTTATTTGCTAATTTATTTTTATTTTCTTTATTTGCTTATTATTTTATTTTCATTTATTTGTTTATTTTATTTACTTGTATTTTTACTTCTTTTTATTTCTTGGTTTGCTTATTTTATTCATATATCTATTTTTCTTTCCATTTTGTTTGTCTATTTGCTTATTTTATTTCTTTATTGTTATTTCATTAGTTTTGTTTATTTTTATCATTCTTATCTTGTTTATTTATGTGTTTATTATTTATTTATTCATTTTTATTTCTACTTTATTCTTTAAATTCATTCATTATTTTTTTTTCCAGACGAGCGTAAGAAACCCTGGTTGTTTAGATTTACTTATTCGTTAATTAATTTATTTATTTGCGGTTTGCTTTACTTACTCTCTTCTCTCTCCTTCCCTCCCTACATCCCTCTCCCTTCTTTCCTCCTATCCCTCCCTCCCTCCTTCCTTCTTCCATACCTCTCCCTCCATCCCTCCCTCTCCATACCTCTCCTTCCTTCCTTCCCCTCTCCCTCTCCCTCCCTCCCCAACACAATAATGGACTTTGGGCCTTCGTGCATCACGGATTCCAACCCCGTCCCCAGCCTCTTTTTCGGGCCCGCCATGTCGCCTCGGCCGTGAGAGTCGGAAGGAGATTTTCAAAACTAGCGAGGACGTCTTTCATCTTGCAGATAAGATCGGCGGTGTAATTTGCATCGGGACGTATCTCTGTCATCGAGGGAGGGAGACATTGAGGTAGATAAAGGGAGGAGAGAGGGAGGAAGGGAGAGGATTTGAGGAGGGATTAAGGATGTAAAGAGAGGGTGAGGGACGAACCGCAAGGATGGAAGGATGGAAGCGTTGGCGAGAGAGGTGGAGAGAAGGAAAAAAAAGGAAAAAAAATGTGCAAATCGTAATTAACAATAAAGGAAAAATAATATATATAAAATCACCTCTTATTCTCCTATGCCAAGAAAGAAAAGGAAAAAAACTATAATATAAAAAGAAAATACATGCCAAACAGATCCACCCGAGTCATCAGTCGTCTGGTTTATATTTAGATGTTTTGGAAACGGCGCACACAATTCCCCTGTTGTTTTCCCTCTCGTTAACTTTCCTCCGTAGCAATTCCCGCCTGAGTCTGTTACATATATCTTTGTTGTCCTCAGTCTGGCTCCTCCCCCTCTGTGTGCGCGAATTCGTCTTTATTATGCTGGTTCTCTTCCTTTGCACGTATCTAGTCCTCAGTCTCGAATGGTTTAAAGGGGATCGAGGGAGAGTGGGAGAGAATGGATGAGAGAGTAAGAGGGAAGGGGACAGGGATGAGGGAATAGATGGGGAGAGAGGAGGAGAGAATAAGTGAGGGGAGTAGGTGAGGGTAAGTGAGGAGTGAGAATATGTGAGCAAGAATAACTGGAATAAAGTAAAGGAATAGAAGAGGGATCGAAAACGAATGAAAGGCAATAAAAATGAGTAGGAGCAAGGATGGTGGGAAGGGAGAAAGAAGAAAAAAAGAATGAGAGAAGCGCGCGAATGAATAAGGAGGAAGGTGATGGACAGAGAGGGAAGGAAAGAGTGGGTTGGCGGAGTAAGAAAGAGAGAGAGAGGGGGAGAATAAATGATTGGAATAGCAGGAGATAAGAAAGGAAGCAAGGGAAGAGAGGGGAACGGAGGAAGTAAGGATAGAATGCAAATAGAAGATGATGAAAGGAGTCATAAGGAAGGGAGAGAGTCGAGAAGAAACAGAGGAGATACGGATTTGGAAGTGGGAGGAATATGGATAAAGTTCGAGAATGGGAAAGGGAAGAACAAGTGATTTAAAGCGCTGGGAAGTAAGTGGCAGGAAAGCGGTTGGAGAAGCCACGGCTCTGCTCTCACCACGGGGAATTGATACGAATTATATATGTATATATGTTTATTTATTTATTTATTTATATATGTGTTCGTGTGTGTGTGTGCGTGTGTGTGTGTGTGTGTGTGTGTGTGTGTGTGTGTGTGTGTGTGTGTGTGTGTGTGTGTTGTGTGTGTGGAATGATCGTGTCTGTGTGTGTGATGTGTGCGTATGTTTGTATTTGTTATATGTACATATATATATTATATATATATATATATATATATATATATATATTATATATATACATACATACACTTTTACATAAGGTTATATACACACGCACTTTGCTATTGGGTAAACACCCGCGCGCACAAACCGCAGATAAACATACTATAACCCCGTCTTCCCTCTCTGCCTAACTGGACAAGTCCTGCATCAACACCAGACGTCAAGAGCCATCTATCGGCGTGGCGTGAAGTACCCCCCCCCCTCTCCTTGTATCATTCATGGGTGGTTGGTTTGATCCTTCAGTG